ATGTAAGATTGGCGATGATCCAGCAGTACTCGAAACTTTAATAAACTAACCGTTCGGCGTCCAATTACGTCAGTCATCGTCTGCAGAATATAATTAAATTTTGACACGTGTGGCACGTCTCTCTTGTAATCGATTCACCAAAATTGCAGTAGTGCCGCTAACGATTAAATGAAGATTAAGCGTTTTGTACGCTGTTACATCTCTCTCGTGTACATTCGGAAATACATACTAAATTAGTTATCTATGTTTTATTAATCATCTATGCCAAATTGTTTTAAATGTAACTAGAATTTATTAATGATCTGATGATTCAACAAATTATAATTCTGTCTTTTCAATAATTATTTATATTAATGAACATAAAAATATTTTTAAAATCCAAGTTTTTGTGTTACTTAGCGTTAAATTTCTTCACTGCGGTATCTTTTTAATTTAAAAAAAATATATATCAATATAAATAAACGTTCTCGTTTTTCAAGATAAACCAAATCACCGAAAAGCCGAATATTCACCATTTTTTAAGAGTTCTACTTTTAATACATAGATGAAAATTCTTCCTATTACGAGAGAAGTAGTTGCTCGCAAGCCTACAAGGCCGAAAACCTCTCAGCGGAAAGCATCGGTTTATTCGTCGTTCTAAACCGTCGTACATTCTTTTCCCGTGATCGATAGAAAATTGATTCGTCAGTCCCCATCGTCGATAGGCGCGCACTCGGGGGGGAGCGGTGGTGAAGGTGCGCGTTCACTGACGCTCAAGTGGGGCAAAAGGGAACCACTTAGCCGAAACTGCAGGAGTCTGGGAGTCAGCAGCTATTCGGCAGACGTCACTGGCGCCAGCGGACTACCTTAAAGCCCGGCCATCCCCTAGCCGTCCTCGTCCGCCCCTGCCACCGACAATCTCATTCCCCAAAAGCGTCGCAAGAATTATAAAGTTGGTGGAGGAGAGGAGAGAAAAGAAAAGAGCGCGGGAAGAGGGGAAACGACTTCTTTCCTTGCCACCCAGCGTTGTCAGTCGAGCGACCCACACCCGCCTCCCTCGTCCCGCAACCTACACGCTCTACCTCGATCTATCGTTACTATCCCTTGGTCTTCCTCCCCTATCTTTCCCCTTTGTTCCTATTCTTTCGCCCCTTCGCCGCCGCCCCGCGCACCGCTCTCTTCCTCCTCCGGCGCTTTTTGTTTTAACTTAGAAGTTTTCGCGAAGAAACCGATCGGGGACGAGCGAGTTTCGAGTTTCGACCGCGAGTTACGAGCGGTACGGATCCGAAAATCTGTTCTCCATTAGCGCGACGCCGACCGGAAGTCGTTCAATTAGAGTCATGTACCGTGTGATCTCGAAATAATCCGGCGCTCGAGAGACTCCATTGTTATTTCGGACGGCAGAAGTTTCGTCGAGCGCGCTCCCGTTTAATGAGCGACGCTTCTCGTAGTTTCGCAGTTTCCGCTCGCGGCTCGAGACTACTCCCGCGGATAGTTTTACAGCGCGATGACGGGATAAGGCCGGACTTGGTCGGTCGTTTCTTTATCGCCGCTCTCGATAAAACGGAACGATCTTCGGATTATCACGTTATCAACTCGTTATCCGTTCTTTTGTTACTTGTTGTTTTTGCTCAAGAAAAAAGTGGCATTATTGATAAATATGAGAAGAGGAATAAAAATCATCGTTTTTAATTTCTAGAATTAAAAATATTAACTAACTTTACGTAGTATATCATTTTTAACACAGTGTCAATTATCACAGACCGATTTTCAGGCACCGAAGCTCGATAAATTGATTTTCGCCGCCGCTTTAGATAGAATTTTAGCTCGTAAAAATGATTGAAAATATTTTCTCAAACGACGGGAAGAATTTTTCCGAAGAATTACCGCAAAATTTTTCCCGTCACCGTCACGGCAGCGCCGCCGCCGCGTTGAAACGTTGTGCCTCGGAGCGCGTTTCTTACGCGTCGCGCTACGCTGCGCTTTTCGCTCGCCGCGGCAGTATCGGTTTTATCCAGACGCTCGAATTTATGCTCTTTCCACCAAACGGTAAATGGATATACAGTCGGATAAAAAAAAAAAGAGAGAGAGAGAGAGGAGAGAAGAAAATGGGAAAGAGAAGAGAGAACAAAAAGACATCGATCTCCGGACTAACGAGGCGGCGTGCAACCGGTTTCATACGCACAACAAACTACTAGAACGGCAGCCGGAGGCGTTAATATACCGGGGCGTAAGCCCGGGGGCGGTATTTTTTCGCCACTCGCGCGCATTCGCCGCTTTGAAAAATATTTTTCTGAAAGCTAATATCTCTCTCGGGCCGATATTCCACCGTGTAAATAATATCCGCGCCCGTAGGGACAACAAAGTAGGCTGTCATGTGAGTGCAATCGCCAAAAGAGGCTCTCCGGGGAAAAAAAATGAGCCGCTCGCGTGGCCAAACGCTCGTGTCATTTTTTCTCGCTGTCCGCTTGCCTGCTTGCTGCTTTTCGCTTTGCCCCCGTTCAACGATGACGGCGGGAGCCGAGAAAAAACGAGCGAACGACGAAAATGATTTTGAATCGCAATCAGCGTCGCCGGATATCGACTAAGTGCGCAAAAATTTGAATTTGCGTCCGACTGGACAATCAAATTTTTCGTATAATTCTTTTTTATTAATTTTTCCACCTTCTGTTTTATTAATCAATTTGTTGTTTATTTTTCAATCCTTTTATCGCTTTTTATCTCGTGAAAATGCTGCTGTATAATACCGCAGCGCTCAGTTTATGAACTACTACCGGTCTGCAAATGAATCGATGGATTACATTTCATTCTCGACGTTTCCTTATGCAATACAACAGAAAGAAAGATCATTGCAGCGATCACGCAAGCGGCGCAGATTGACAGAGGAAGCCAACATCCAGCCAGTTTGCAACCAGCCGCCGGAAAGTACACGCTAGAACGCGATTACAGCGGGTGATTAATATCGTCAAACGTTTATCCGTGCATTCGTACCGCATTTTTATCTCCATTAGTACGACGATGGCGACGATAACGATGAGGTAGGATAAAGCTGTAATTACACGCCGCACTTGTGCGTGTGCGAAAGATTAAAAGGCGCCGGTAGTGAAGTGGGAATTATTTTAGTCGCGTTGTTGCGATGTACTAACGGCAAAGCGATTTTCCCCGAGAAATCGCGTTACATTTTTGCGCCGTTTCTCTTTCCCCGCCCACCGTCGAAAGAGAGAGAGAGCGAGGTAGTAAAAAAAAAAAAAAGGAGCCGACGTAAAGGGACGTGAAAACGTTTTAATTTTTATCGCAAGCTTTACGCGCGCAAAGCACTCCGCTGAAAGTGACGAGACAGATCACATTACACGGACGCGATTACTAGTGTAATTCCGTGTAAATCGTCCAAGGTCGCCGCAAAAAGCTAGACGAATGTTTAAAGGAAAACGGTGAATGGGAAATGTAGAAGGCATTTGTATTTGTGTGCTTAGGTCGACCAGCATTCCGTAGACAATCGAATAAACTGCGCTTCTATGCTTAGCTTAGAACGACTCTTTATTCTTTGAAATGTGAAAATATATCAATAACACACAGGTATATTTTTAATATCTTCTCTATCTGTCAATTTTATTTCCAAAAAACCAATTTTTAGATTACATTTTTATACATAATAATATACTCTTTCTTTTAAATACTAGAGATTAAATTTTTTAATCTATTTTTCTCAGAATATCACTATTACCAATACGCTTTTTTTTTTTTTAATGGTAAATCGCTCAATTACATTCCTTCATATTTGCTACGAAACTTCCATTGCATGTAAATACATGATGAGAATGGGATACTCGCGTTTATCGTCAAGTGCGCGAACGCGAGTCCTCCGAGACTTGCGAGAAAATTCAGGCCTCGCGCGAGTGTTTTTCGCAACCGTGTAATTGTTCGCCGCTTCGCTTCTTCGTCAAACAGAATGCGACTGTTTTCGTGTGATCGCGATCGGCAATATTGTGTTAAGGCTTTCCATAAAATTCGCGGCCCGCGGCGATGTAATTGTTATCGCGTCCAAGTCAATAGCGATTTCGCACAAAACACCGTCGGAACACAGGTTGCCGCTATATGAATGTGTCGGCACGTCGAAATGGCGGACGGCGGGGGCACGGGGGGGGCCGGAAGGGTCGGGTAACGGGGGGGGCGGGGGAGGGGGGCACAAAACGTCGAAGCGATTTATTAAATACCGTACGGGTGAGCACTGTTATGACACGAGTATGCAAATATTATTTTGCGTGTGCACGAGGGGGCAATCAATGACCCGCTCTCCCCATTCCCCCTTCATCCGCCGGATATCTTCCTCCCTTCGTAGTTCGATCGAAAACTCAGCATGAGAGAAAGCTCGCGAAAGATTTCGAACGAACTTCCGGATGATTAATCAGTCACACGAGAATGATATATCGATCCGCGGACTCTAATGCCTCGCAGACGGACGACGTAGATTTACGTCCGTTCCTTATCCCGCGACTACATAATGCATTTGAGTGAAACTATGGAAATTAGCCGGGGTTCTTTCGATTACTGAAGTCGACAAGGTAGCCAAGCAGTTATTGGCCGCTTGTGAAATATTTAGTCTCATAAAATAACATGAATATACATATATATATATATTATATATGATCATTAACTACGTCATAATCTTTTTTATCGACAACTTTGCATCACTTTTTTTCGTATCATCAACGAACATAAATATATAATAAACAAAACTTGAAAATTCTTGAAAATGAACGACCGTGTATGGAGTCGTCGGAAATTAAACGCTACTCAAAATCTATCATTGCTGAAATGTAATTAAATCTATAATTTTTTTCTTTTTTTTTCAATAAATGAACTTTAATTCAACGATCTAAGAAACCCGAGTGGCCAACTACCACGTCACCGCGACGTTCTAATTAACGTCGGCTTAATCTGCTGTCAATATCTTTTTATTTATCGATACAATGATTGCGGTCGCTGATAACTTGAAAATCGAGAAATCTTGAGAAACTCACCGATGAGCTGCCCTTCGGTCGTCCCGCAGAAGTTATTTCGCGATCCGTCGGACAACGGCGGCATCGGCAAGGACGACGGGGGTGTCGAGGGCAAGGGGGTTAACTGCTAGTGAACCCACGAATGGGTAGCGGCGGGGGTCGCCGCGTTCGTGCTCACGTAGACGCCCGCGGGTGCATTGCCGGTCGTTGTGCCGACAACGACGCCCGTGTTCTGAGAGACGACGCCGCCGTTCTGGCCGACAACATTGCCGTCGCTTACTTGCACGGTGCCCATCACTCCCTGCTGGAAGTTGAAGTCCAGTGTGCCGCCCATCGACAGCTCATGTTTGATCACCTGTAATTCGCGTGTCGAATCGACGTGTTTATATATGTTTACGAAGAATCACCTCCCTCTACAGTAAATTCTTGATGAATTTATCATTCTTTTCGTGGAATTTTAATTAAAATTATTCTCTAAAATAATCTCTCTTGTCTTTATCACATAAAACATATATATTTCCGCGTATAGCGTAAATTTATATATATATATATGCTTCTGCAACGCGATGTTTACGGAAAAAAGGTGATGTGGATAATTTAGATATAAAAACTAAATGTTTTGGATATAAGATCAATATTTTAACGATTAAAATAAATAACACTATTGATATAAATTTCACACCGCGTCACAGCAAATTGTCTGTTTTGTTTTCTAATTTTTTGTAACTCATAAAAAAGTTTCATTTAATACAGAAAGCGTTAAAACGTTCAAGAGAAATGTTTCCTTCACTTGTTCAATTATTATTCAATTAGAAATTTATTCAATTATTTCAAATACTTATTAATACAAAGGTATTAGTAACAAAAGACATGACAATGGCAACGCCAGTAGTAATGGACACAGCATGATCAGACTTACTTCCTCAACGTTGCAATCGAAACCGCCGTGCATCGCCTCGATGTTGATGTTGAGATCGTCGAGAAGGGCGGAATGGTTGAGCGCACCCATCAGCTGGCCCATCATAGTGCTAGGTGTGGCGGGGCAGGGTGTCGGGGTGTTCGGCGGGCTAGGACCAGCTGGTCCAGTCTGTGCCGGCTGATGCTGCGGCTGATGCGGCGGCTGATGCGGCGGCTGATGCGGCGGCTGATGCGGCGGCTGATGCTGCGGCTGATGCTGCCGCTGTTGCTGCTGCTGCTGCTGTTGCTGTTGACGCTGTTGCGTCTGAATCATGTATTGCAGCGTCTGTTGCTGATTAGTGCCCAATGTCGTGGGGCTCGGTTCGCTCTGCTGATACGACGGTGACATGCCGGACACGGGACTCAGGTTCTAAGTTAAAAAAAAAAAAAAAGAAGAAGCGCGATGAAAAACAAATACGAAGTAAAAATACGATCGTAATAATCGATGTACATAACAAATTATGTACTAATATGTTATTAATATTAGTGATTTATAAATAATATATAAAACATATTTGCACGCAAGCGTGACTGTTTACGTCGTAAATTATACTAATTCCACTTTCGCTCGCATAAATATCGATCTTCATGTTTGTCATGGTTTATATCTCTCATAATTTATTAGAAATATGATAAGCCCCCGTAAAATTGAAAATTTCGTTGTTTCGGTGCGCTGGAAGGAAAATTTATAAACTTTTTAAAAACCGATCTGTATCTCACGGCAATAAAATAAGTGATTAATATAAATAAAATACGGGAACTTTCTCATAATAAAAATTTAATCTTGCGAAAATTGATCAATTACAACAGACAGATTGTTCCGAGCTTGGCCCGAGTATGTTTGCATTTGTACCGTTATCGAAAATACGTTTCGATACAATTCCATAAGCGTATGATGCTTTTTTAAGCCAGTTCCAATAATGAAATGTAAATAAGCTTCCATCGCACCGTCGCAAATCTCTTCACACGGGACAACAAAAATATTGCTGCAAAAATACCAGCGTCGTGGAAAATAGCGAATTAAATTTCCACGAAGAAAAGACTCTCCCCCCCCCCCTTTCCTCCCCCCCCCGGTTCCTTGCGGACGGTACCTTTCTATTAGACCGTATTTAATTAGTTTTGTAAAATAATACGATATTTATTAATCCTTTTCTCGCCGCCATCGGTTAACGTCATCCTTTGTCTCTGCAAGCGGTGTAGAAGCCGCCGCTAGACGGACACCGCTTCGCGTACGTGTGTGTGAAACATATATCGCGATCCTTATTGATTTTGCAACATTGCCAGGCCGAACATGCGCAACATAAAAACGCCGACGTCCTCCTTTGTGGAGGATTGTGGCGTTCTCGCGCGAAAAATACGTCAAAAATTTTCGGACTCACCATCTGACAGGCACACGGCTGCAGACCGTGGATCGGGCATCTCTGCTGATTGGCCGACTGCGGGGTAGGTGGCAGGCCATAGGATGCGGACGACGGAGTGCGTAGGCCGTTGTTCCTCTGGTATTGCGCTTCGTAGTAAGGCGGCGGCGGGCCGGTTTGTTGCTGGTGGCCGGCCGGCGGTGACGTTTGGTAAATTTGGTAGGGCTCCAGTTTCATCGTTTCCGCCAGGTTGCCAGCTAGAATCGTGTCCGCTGTTGAGAGCACAATGCACAATCGTATATTAATCGTGTGTCGAAGAATGAATGAACGGCAAGAAAAGTCCACCTTGTCCTGCTGATTAACTTCAACTCAAATTGATCGAAACATTATACTCCAAATATTCTAAAAATATTGAGATAAAAAAAGAGAGAGGAGAAAGGAGAGGAAGTAAATGTATACCTAATTGTTGTTCTGGGCTGTAAGAAGATGCGTAAGTCGGCGTCCAGTCTGGTTCTCCGAGAACTGCCGGGATAGGACTCAATCGGCCACAGGAAGAGGCGTTACTCGAAGCGCGCGGGCTGAATAAAAAAAAAAAAAGGATAAAAATTCGTCTATTATATTGCGAAACTGCTTTATATTACTTCCTTCCGTGCTATCACGACTAATATTTCTTTTTAATTCTCCGTGTGATATAATGTCCGATTCATACATGTGTCTTCTTTCCAAAATTAAAACGGTTCTATTATTTCAATTAATATTTGCAAATTGTGTATTCTCTCAAAATTAAAATGTGGATTAATTTTACTTGATTCGTATCGACTGAGCGATCCGCAAAAAAAAAAAAAGACGTGCAGTCTAAACTAGCCATTCGAATATAAAATCTTCACGCGTTACATAGATTTTATACATTTCACTCTTGATTGAACGAAAATATTCAAGCCCGGTCAGCGACGTACCGGAAGTCGGAGGAAAGTTGAAATCCGCTGGCGGGCAGCGGGCTGTCCGGAAACAGGTCCAGACCCTCTCCGACGCTGCTGCTGGGACTAGATGTGGGCTCGGCCAGTAGTCCGCCGTTCCTCAGGGCCTCAGCAATCTTCTTCGAACGACCGCGTCGCTTCTCCAGACTCCCGGTGCTCTCCATAGTAGTGGCCCTGCGCAACAAGCATGACGCAGGTGCAACTCCCGACAGTTCGCGGTTCAAGAGATATGAAAAGACTGAGAGCGAGAGAGAGAGAGAGAGAGAGGAGGGACAAATTACCGACAATTCGAACTTACCTGCGACGGGCGGACTTGCCCGGCTTGGCATCACGATTGATCATCCACCAGGAGCTCTTGCCAGTACCCTCGTTCTGCACTCGCATGAATCTGCTGTGTAGCGATAAGTTGTGACGTATGGAATTCTGCGAACAGAAAGAGTGACGTGATTTACATAGTAAAATAACAGGCGGAGCGATGAAACATTTTTCATCAATTATGTAACGGTCTTGGATTCACCTTGATATTAATAATATAATTAATTTCGCTCTCCGCTAAAGAAGGATACGATAAGATATTAGCAATTCGAGTTCGGAAATAGCGGTATCTATAAAATAAAACCCATCAGACTTTTTCGCGAGACATACCTCGCGAATGACCCAAATGTTCTTATAAATTATATGAGGGAACATCTCTTGTTCGATATATCGTCGCTGCTAAGTTTGAAGCGAAATACTATCCGTACTATCGCATAACATCTGTATGGGTTTACGAGAATAACGTACACGAAAAAACCAATTCGAAGAGTGAATCATAGAAGCCGCGCTTTATAGTTCTCCGCCGTCCCTCCCTTCATTAGGCAAATTGAATCGGCTACGAGCATACTAGCCGGGTTTTCCGAAAAATTTCGGGAAGCTTCTACCCTAATACGAAAGTGCCCGGTGTCGCGAAGCGATAACAATTTCCTTTCGTCTTCGTCTCCTGATGCGCGAGTCGGCGAGACGGGCGCGCACCGAAGGATATGCTTTCAGACGAAGAACACGTACACGTAGAAGGCGACGCGATAAATAAAAATGGCCTTCTTTAAAACCGTTATATCGCGAACGAGACAGGCGGAAGTTGACGCAAAGTACCGCGAAGAACTTTCGCAAACTCGCGGCTACGGCGTTTTATCGTTTCGTTAAGTCGCGCCGCCCTAAAACACAGTCGCGGATTGTTCGCCCTTAAATGAACAGAAACAATCGTGACAATCTATTTTCTCTGATAATTTAGCCCAGTGTTATTTTTATACCTATCGCAAATATGTTCGAAAAATTTCTTTACAAAAATAAATATCCATCTATTTGTGTCTAAATTTATCTACGAGTATCGTATTTTTACAACTCTTTATCTTTTATCGTTTAACTTGTAAAATTGCCAGATATTTATCATCCGGCTGCCTGCGTCCAATTTACTTGGACGTCCGACGCGCGCATCGTGCACTTCACATCCAAAAATTTATAACGTAGAAATGTACACGACACGTATTCTTTACTGCTCGAAAGAAATAGCTCGCCTTTATGACGTGCACGGCGTTCGTCGCTTCCATCCACGTGTCCCTTTCAATATCAATTCGCGAAAAAAGAGATCCAGACGATATTCAGCATGTAAGCTCCGCTTGTGTTGTTGATATGATGGTCATAATATCGCAGTCCGCACAATCGTATAACAGCCGGAATAAAGCTTCATAGCCGGGAAATCCTTTTTTTTTCGCTCTACCGTGTTAGTGCCTGATTCCGATAAGCTCGCGAAATTAGTTGTTCACAGACAAATTCTGCGGTGGAAAACGTCGTTACTTTTATCGCGTTTTAGCCTTCTGCTCGGCCTTTACTGCCCGACGCTTTTCTCGAACTTGACCGATCGTCTTACTGGACCTTTGAATATTCGGGAAGTCGAAAGCATTTATCGACAAGAGCCTGAGAAGCTGCCCCGGGTATATCGCGCCAGCAGGACGCTTTTACGATCGCCAGCGCCAGGCTTCTTTCGCCTTTAACCCCCGCGTGACAGACTCGCGCTAGGAGGGCGGACTCCCCCTTCGATGGGGCGATCAGCCATTCCAGTCGTGCAGTCGCGGGCTATACGGCGGGACTTTATAACCCCATCATCTACCCGCCTTTATCGGCGCTACGCTCCGAAGATGAAGACATTTTCGGCGCCACCGTTCTGATTTTTCCATTGAACCGCCCGAGCTAAGGATTACGTCGGAGAGATTTCAAGGATTTTAATATTTTAAGAAGTAGCGCAAAACTGCGGAGAAAAAAAGCGATCGTTTAATTCTTAAATAAAAACAACGGAATACTTTATTATATTGAAAAATATGTAATCTCAAAAATTTTTTCGCATATTTTCGTTATTTCTTGAAGTTATAATGGAAAAATTTCTCATTAATTCGTAAAGATAAAAATGCAGATTTAAATTAGAGATATAATTTATAGATATCCATCGTAACTGATGAATTTATAAAGTTAAAGTCAAATTACAGAGATTAATATTTCAGTGTTAATATATAATGGCATAATTGTAACTCATCAAGCCTGAGAAAATTTCAAACCGCTGAGAATCAGATAATAAAATATTGTATCTATTAAAATCCATCTCTCCCCGTTAATCAGAATTATGCAAAGTACGCAACTAAAGCTTTTCATATTTCATTAATTCTTTCAATACCGTTCAGTTTCAAACAAGATCTAATTAAATTTCTCTACTTGTCTTTATTTATGACTAAATGTTATTTGAAAAGAGACCATCTGTCGGGATTAGTTGAGTGAGTTTCAAGATAGAGATCATCTCGTTGATCTCGCACGAGATAAAAAAAACAGAACGAGCTCTCTCTCTCTCTCTCTTTCTTCAAGTTCGGATTGCGAACCGCCGATAAAGTCCGGCACTTTCGTCCCGAATCTCTATAAACCACGTAGAAACAGCCTTCGTCGTCCAGAAACGCAAAGAACGCGACGAAGATGACTCGTAGACTCGAACAGACAAAACGAGAAACGTTTATTTCGCATTCGAATGGATAGTATAACGTCCAATTTATGGAGCACGTATACTCGTCCTGCTCGCGTAACTTGCGCGGCGTTCACTAGCGCGTCTTCGTCGTCGACCAGGATATGCATGATAAGGAATGCCGAAATCAGAGCAAAGACTAAACGTCGACGAGTAGTCGTAAGTCTTCAGTTCAAGGTCGATAGTCAGTCTGGAAAACAACGGCAATCTAAAAAAAAGTAGTACTAAACGTCAACTTTATGCGTGAGATAGTCCGAATTGTCCTATATAAATATTTTTTAAAGAGATGTTAGTGAGATATTTCAATAAATAATAAATTGCAAGAATTTATTTAATATTCAGGTCTCTGCAAAAAATATAATTAGTGAGCGATACGCATAACGATGCATGGCAAGCAATATACATCAATAATCGCAGGAATTTTTTATTTATTTTGATATCCATTATTGCAGAAAAAAATTCTAAAAAAAGAATGCGGAATAAAAATATCTTGATAATTTCTGCCTATATTTATTACTTATTTTATTAACACACATTGAAATATGTAAAATTCATTATAGAATTCCTGCAGAACGCTAAAATTCGCTATTGATGAAACGCTCTCATCGCGTTTTGATCAGTTGTGCATAATGTTGCGATGCGCACAATGCGCCCGCGAAACAAGAATCGTCGATCAATTACATCTCGGTTTCGACAGATTGCAAATGGCCTTTCCGATACGAGGAACGCGGAAACGAGCGAGCGGGTTGCTCGTCACAGAGAATTTGCGATGATGATTGGCTAAGGCAAGCGACGGTTTGAATAATAAAGCGCGATCGTTAGGTAACTACAAGCACGGAAGCTTTAATTCTTAATGCGCGCGTGGACAGAAAGGTACCAAGTCCGGCCTGAACGAACAATTTGTCTCGATCGGCGAGCTTCGAGGATGCGCTCGCTCGATGATCCGACATGCACTCGCGTTTCTACGTGTGCGTCGCATACGAAAGGAAACGGAAACTCTGCGAAGAAAGTTACATAGGATTCGTGAAGTAAATGTAAAATAGCATTTTCTCTCTATTTGACAATTGCGCTTCGTTTCGGCCGCGAACCGTGTCATCGCATCGCAATGTGTCATAACAAAGTCTTGGATTCGCGCATGACGGGAAACGATTATAGATAGCAAACAATTACAGATAGCCGTATAATCGCGGAAGGAAACACAATCCTACATCAATTTTTTACGGACGTGGTTTTTATCTTGTCATGGCGTATCTCGTGCTCGAAGTCTTCCTTATCGAAAGGACGTGGCTACCAAAGTCGCGGTTTGCGGGCGAGCCGAGGCCGTGGCGTGTCTTTTGTGGTGACTTTCATCGCGCCACAAAGAAACTCCATAACCAGGCGCGAGATAACGACACCGAATCTTAACTTTGACAATCAGGAAGCGCGCATTAAGTAAAAAACTGTTGTTCGACAATTTTGTCGTTTTAAATTATTAATCACAAAGCCAGAATTAGTCGAATAAGTTCCGTCAATCAATTCGCCGTGAGAAAATTATTTAACAGAGCGTGAATAAATAACAGTCAATCATACAAATTTACATGACACGTGAAATATATTAGCTATTCACTCTTAATGCTTCTTGCACATTTAATTGTGTCGAGTATCGATTAATTTAATTACACGCTTTTTAACCACTTCTCTCTTGCAAATAGATTAAATGAACTTTGTTGAATGGGTAATTCCCGAAGTTAGACAAAGGCATTTCTTTAGCGGGGCAATAGAGATTTTCCTTTGACCTCGGTTTAGTGTACGGTAAACTCGAGTTCTAAACTTACCTCGACATTATTTAACAGATGCATCGCGCCGTTGGAGATTTAAAGTCCACCGCTTTCTTATGAGAAGAGTCGCGATATAGTCCCTGTTTAATTTCATTCATCTCGCTCGAAAGTTTATAGTGCCAAATTACATATTTGAACAAACTTTTGCCCTCATCGGACGAATTACAATAATCTATCTTTTTACGAATTATCGACTGATAAACTTCATTTTTCAAGCGCTTGACAAGATTGATTGAAGTTGAAGCAAAATCAGATTCGAATTAAATTTTCTCCTGAAAAGGTGGTTCTTGGAGATCGTTATTATACTGAATTCTTCAATTTCATTTAAAATTTGGCTCAATTCACTTCAATTGAAATTTAACAAATGGCTGTCAACGCCAATTGAAAGTTTGGCAGCAATTGCGAACGTAAAAGCGCGCGATTCGCAAAAGAGGAGCGGCACCATTTTACATCGACGACTACGACGACGACGACGTTTGTGCTCTCAGGTGATTAGATGGTGACCGAGAACCGATCACATCCGAGAAGACTGCCAACAAGACCATCCCACCAATCCGCGCATGTTA